GTTTTCTACGAGCTGGCCCAGCAGCTGCCTCTGCCCCACAGCATCAGCTCCAGCCTGGATAAGGCTTCCATCATGAGACTCACCATCAGCTACCTGCGCATCAGGAAGCTGCTCAACCCAGGTCAGTATCTCTGAGAAAGTCCACCTGATGCATTATGGATAGAAGAGAACTTTTCAGGTTTAAAAAATAACTTGCTCATAAGACGGATAAATACTAACACAGAGAAAGAAGGCTGGAGAAATAACACTGTGGCAGCTGTTGTGAGAAATAGACTCGTGTTTTAGACAGATCTCTCTGCTGATAAACCAGTGAAGGCACTGTGTTTGGTTCAGCCTTTTATTCCCAGCAAGAATGTCCTTTGGACAGCAGCGGCTTTAGACAACGCCTTGGCCCTGATTTTTGTCTCCTTTCTTTTCTTTCTCTTTCTACCTTGACTATTCCTCACCTTTTCTCTTTTATCTCCTTCAGATGACATGATGGCCAAGGAGGAGACGGAGCTAGATATCCAGCTCAACAGCTCCTACCTGAAGGCTCTGGACGGCTTCCTGATGGTGTTGTCTGAAGATGGAGATATCATTTATCTCACCGAGAATGTCAACAAATGCCTGGGGTTGGCACAGGTCAGTCAGGCTACAGCCAGTGTGTTTGTGCATTAAAATGAAAGGAATGGGAGTCTCCTTTAGAGACCTTAAAGTCAAAGAGATATTATTTAAAATTTAAAAACAAAATTATAATAATAACCACAATAATAATGCCTTAGATTTAAATATTGCCTACTCCTATATCTGAAGAACTAAAAAAATAGCTGAGAAATGGCTGAAAGTGGAATAAAATATTTAGCAAAAATAATGAAACTTTGGCAAAAGCCTGAACTGTGTCATATATTGTTACGGTAAGGTATAAAAATGAAACAAACATAGTAGCATAAAGATGCCCAATTACTTATATTATGTAATGGGAGTTAGTCTCTTTGCATTGCATTAATAGCCCAAATGTCACCTGTTTGATTTACGTCTGCCTGACAAAAACACTGGGATCCTGTTTCCCCCCTCTCTGCTGTAGTTTGACCTGACGGGACACAGCGTCTTTGACTTCACACATCCCTGTGACCAAGAGGAGCTGCGAGAGATGCTCATCCACAGATCGGGTGAGATAAAAGATGTCTGTTTCTGTTCAGTCAGGAAAGATAGACACACAAATACCAGAATAAAAGGACAACTGGTTAAAGCTGACAAGTTCAGACATGAAGTTGTCTTGTATTTTTTCCTTAAGGTATATCTGGCTCCAGTGTTAGTCTCAATGACCTTGAATTCAACATTATTAAAACAGTAAACCACATCACTGACAATGCACTATTTAGATTGAATATTAGTATGTAGCTTTTAATCTTTTTTTTGTGGATTCAATTTATATGAAATTAAATTATACTTAAACCTCCTGATATCTACTTTGCTGTGTGATTTTCAATCTGTGGAGTGCATTTTTATCCTGGACCTGAACTGAATGTGAAATGAGACTGTCTCCACTGGAACGGCTGAAGACTTCTTTCTTTATTTAACTTACTGTAGCTCACTACAGTGGAATGAGGTCTAATGCAAATGAGCAGTGAGCAAAGTTTTATGATCCAACCATAAAATGATATACCTGCCTCAAAGAGACAGTGTTTAGTTATGTCACAATGATCTCCTCTTTGTTTTACATAGAGACTAAAAGTGTCCTGGTTAAGGTCTTTACTTTTTAGGTCAAAATAGAGGCTGTATTCATTACACTGGCCGCTCTAATTAAATAGTAAAATTATTCTTGTCATGTGGTTACAGGCTCCAAAAAGAACAAGGAACAAAACACCGAGCGCAGCCTTTTTCTTCGTATGAAATGCACTCTGACAAGCAGGGGCCGCACGGTTAATGTCAAGTCTGCTACATGGAAGGTAAAGCCACGCTGCAGTCAACGAGAATAAATGTCCTCCCAGCTATTGATCAGGAGTGACCTTTGAGAAACCTGTTAACCTTTAAATTAATGCCTCTGATTAGACTGTAAGGATGTTTAAAATCAGGGAATCAGTCCGATGATACACACAGGTCAGGCTGAGAAGTCGGTCAGAAACACAGAAAGAACACAGTGTGTTGTTATGAAAAGGTCGTGTTTGATTGCAGTGCAGGGACAGGGGCTGGCTGTAGCTCCATAAATGGAGCTGTGGTTTATCCTCGTTAGGTGTGGTTTAATTACATGCTTGTTGTTATATATTGTATATTCCTTTTCACATACTGTCCTATATCCTCACTAACTGTTTTAGTACTTTTGTATTTTCATGACTTTTTTAAAAGTCCACAAGTTGTTTTAAGGTCCACTTCAAATTCAGGTATTGAGTAAAGTAGCCATTTTGAGTAGCCAAATGCTATGTGCATGTGCAACCTCACTTTTCAAGCAGTCAAGGAGCAAATTTTACTTTAAAAGTCTTAGCTTTTGGCTCTGTTTTTTTTTTCTTCAAACTTTAACTGCCATTTATCCTGAACCTTGAGCTTGTTTCTTTTAAACACTGTCCTTTAGCTATATGTTTTTAATCTAATAGTATGTACTAGTAATTTGAAAAGAAAGTTTGAAAATACTTTTATCTAAAATTATCCAGGTCTGCTGCTACACTTCTACATTTTAATTATTCTGATGAATGCACTACTTAAAAAAAAAAGGTTTCTTAGTTTACTTAGCTTTTGATGCTGGCATTTAGTCATCTGGGGATTTTTATCCAGCTTTCTTTTTTTTTGCACTGTGTGACTGCCGTTATGTAAATGCCGTTGTATGTAATTCTAATTGAATCTATTCTATTCTTAATACACATGTAAAATAAAAAGTACTCATGTCTTTTGTCATTGTCTTTTCTCTCCTTCAGGTTCTTCACTGCTCAGGTCACGTTCGTGTTTATGACAACAACACTGAGCAGACAAATGGCCACAAGGATCCTCCTGTCCCATACCTGATCCTGATCTGTGACCCCATTCCCCATCCCTCCAACATCGAGGCCCCTCTGGACACCAAGACCTTTCTCAGCCGCCACACGATGGACATGAAGTTCACATATTGTGACGAGAGGTAAGACCGATGGTTTCAGTGAAGCATTCAGGGTGAAAAAACTTAAGGCCATGTAGCTTCTGAAATCATAGAAGAAACCCTGAGCGAGGTTTACATGTTCACAGTCCCACAGAGACACCTAGTGGTTGAAGTGAGACCCACAGGGGAACTGTTTCTACATTTTCTTAAGTATGTCAGTGCTGAGTTAATATTGTTTTGCAGGATCACTGAGCTGATGGGTTATGATCCAGAGGACCTGTTGAACCGCTTTGTCTACGAGTACTATCATGCTCTGGACTCTGACCATCTCAACAAGACTCACCACAGTTGTAAGCACAGAACTAAAGTTACCTCCATCGATGTCTCATATTTTTAATACTAGTTATATATTCTCAATATCACATTTTTTATTTTTCTCTCATCCATTTTGCTCTTCAGTGTTTGCAAAGGGCCAAGTGAGCACAGGACAGTACAGGATGTTGGCCAAGAGAGGAGGCTTTGTGTGGGTGGAAACTCAAGCCACAGTCATCTACAACAACAAGAACTCACAGCCACAGTGTGTTGTCTGCGTCAACTTTGTTCTCAGGTACCAAACAGTCACCTTTCATTGGTTTTCGATCTATTGAGAAGGTCATTGCAGTGTTGTCTTAGCTTAACTCTGCCATGGCTCTGTCCTCTGCTGCAGCGGCATTCAGGAGGAAAAACTGATCCTGTCTCTGGAGCAGACGGAGGATGTGAAGCCAGTGAAGGAGGAGCAGGAGGAAGAAAAGGCAGAGGTGTTGAGCGGTCTGTCTGACATGCCTCTTACCCTGCTGAAGGAAGAGGAAGATACTAAAGTCCCAGAGTTGGACGTGACCAAAGTGTTTACCCAGTCGGTGGACACCTCATCAAGTCTGTACGACCAGCTGAAGGGTGAGCCCGAGGCTCTCACTCTCCTGGCTCCTGCAGCTGGAGACACGATCATCTCCCTGGACTTCAGCTGCAGCCCTGGTTTGTTACTCCACTGTTCACACATAAGGTCACCTCTAGACTCATGTTTACACTTGAACAAAAATCTGAATGTGTTCTTTTGTACAGATTCAGAGATTCAGTTGCTGAATGACGCCCCCCTCTACAACGACGTGATGCTTCCACCCAGTGAGCCTCTCAACATCACTGTCACCACCGGCTCTGACAATTCCAAATCTGAGAGCTACGCTCCACCTCCACCTGCTGCAACAACCAGCAACTGCTCCTCAGAGGTGAGACAGGACATCCAACCAAGTGTCTATCAGCCATATTTATATTGATACAGCGACTTTAAAATGACCTTTGTCCTTCACAGACTGACAGTCAGTTGGACTTCTGCTTCCCCATGGACTCGGACTTCAAACTAGACTATGTGGAGAAGTTGTTTGCCATCGACACAGAGCCCAAAACCAGCTTCAACTCAGAGGTAATGATCTCATGTCACAATACAAGTTAAAGGTGACATTTTGATCATTTTTAACATGTATAGACAAAAAGACTAGAAAATTTAAAATGTAACACTACATTTTCAGCCACACTCAGAGCTCAAAATAATGTGGCAAGAGCTTTGCAACCTGAACAGTTTTCGTGTTCACAGATGTTAATTACACATGTTGCATAAGTCATGTAGTAAAATTTTGTTCATGTTAAAAGGATATAAGCCTGTTTTAGCATGGCTGCCATTGGTAACAACTAGGAGAAGTAGGGCAGCGTTCCTACCTGCTGACCACTTGAAAACAGTGCTGTACTGAAAGCTGTTCTGTGAAGTTCCCTGTTGTTCTGATTCAGTTGCACTGACTTCCTCTGTCAACTCCAGATAATGGCGGACATAGACCTGGAGATGTTGGCTCCCTACATCCCCATGGACGATGACTTTCAGCTGCGCTGTCTGACCCCAGAGGAGCCACTGACGGGTGTCCAGGTCAAATCCCAACAGAGTTCGCCACTTCATATCAAACAGGACCTGACGGGCAGTTATCCCAGCTCACCGGCCAGTCGCACAGCTTCACCGGCTTTACCAGAACCAGTGAACTCATTAAATCTTGCCAGGCTCATTGGTAAAAGGTAAAGTCTCTTTAAACCACAGTCCATTGTCCTTCACTCTGCCACGTCCTCCGTTGAGTTAACTGTAGTGATGATTGTGCTGCAGGTCGCCACAGTCGGACAAAGACGTCTCACTGAGAACACTGGTCGCTCAGAACACACAGCGCAAAAGAAAACTGTGTGACCTCAAAGAGATCATAGAACAGGTGTGTTCTCTGTGGTGAAACACGGGGTATGAAGCATACCTTACATTAATGTGTCAAGGTGAAAATCTGCATCTTATTGCTTCAATAGGGAACTTTGCTGGAAGGACAAGGGGAACAAGGGAAGAAGTTAAAAGCTACAGAGCTGGGATCAACTACCACCATCCTCCTGCTGCCTTCAGGTGATTAGAGACAAATCAGACTCTTAACCTCAGAGGTGTGATGATATCAACCCCATCGTGTTTAACACTGACTGGTCCAACAAATAGTACTGTTCTGTTGGGGTCCACACATACCATTCAAATAACACTGATGCTCAGTGTTTCAGATAATTCAGTTGTCGTTACATACTGCACATTTTTCTGCTTTAACTAATTCAGTTTTAAATAATTTTGTTGTAGTGCCTAGTGTCTGCCTAGTTTGCAGAAAAAATACTCTGGGTGTCTGTGGAGTAAATATAAATACATAGTTATGGTATATTTTAATATTTCAACTGAACTACAACCGTTTCACAGATTTATTGTGAAGTGGTTTTTTTTTTTTTTTTTTAAGAGTCTTGAATCAAATGTTCCTTTGTCCTAGATCTGGCGAGTCGTCTGCTGGGCAGCACCTCGGACGGCACCGGTTCTCTCTTCACGCTGCCGCATCTTACCCGCTACGACTGCGAGGTCAACGCACCACTGCAGGGCCGTCAGTACCTGCTGCAGGGGGAGGAGCTGCTGCGCGCACTGGACCATGTCATCTGAGGCATAGCTGAGCCTGCTCACTGTTGGACTAGACTGGACACTACAATTTATCCCCTCTCCTAGACTCCTACCCATATACCCTCCCACCCCCGCTGCCCTTTATTTAAGTATCCATATGAATTTTGAGTATAGTTTGGCTGCTGTTTGTGCACATCATGTGATATCTGCAGCATTCCACCGTGACAAACGCCATAGCAGCATCCAGTTTTTTGGTGCAAGGGATTCAGGCATCGTCAGATGTCCACTCGTTGTTGTTGTTCCTGCGCTCTCCACCAGGGGGAGTCTCTCAGCACACAGCGCCTCCAGATGACTCTTCTCCAGCAGGTCACCACAGACCCTGGCGCTACTGCCAGCAGTGTATTGTAAGCTTCAGTCGCACAATTTATATTTTCTTAAAAAGAAAAATATTACCAGCAATATATATTGAGTCTTTTTAAAAGTAGTTTTAATGGGATTTGAACAGTTTTATTTTTTTTCCCCTTCCCATACTTGTATGTTGTAGTACTTGTACGTAACAAGACGTCTTTAGTCGACAAAAGTATGAAAACATTGTTGTAATGTTAGCCTCCTTTATTAGCCACCAGTCGTTGGGGTGAAAACATAATTGTGTAGCAGTCCAGTACATGTCACTTTATTACTTTACTGTAAGTGTGTGTCACTGTACATACCAGGGAGATTTTACTCTATCCAGTATGGCTTCACTGCTTTCAAGTCAATTATCTTTAGTTTTGCTTCTCCTCATGGAGGAGAGGGAGAAAATGCTCTCTCTACATGAAGGCAGATCGTGTTTTTAACTGTGTCAAACACAGGAATGTGTTTAAATAAGTGGAATCGCAGCAGTTCAGAGATTTAAAATTGTGTGATTGTCTTCATCAAAGTAACATTGGTGAGTTGTTTGTTTTCTCATTTAATGGTAGTCGCTAACAACATCGCTTCATGACATAATGTTGTCCCATGCTTATTGTTGTTATCTAACATTAAACGGCTTTATTAAAGCACTTTGTTTCAGGTTTATTCACCTTTTAACATTTACTTTCTATAATTTAACAGCAATGAAATGAAATGAAACCTGGTGTAAATAGATAAAAACATTTTAATCACTAATAATACTGAATTCACAGTTGATTGCTTTCTCCAACATTTTTAACATCTGTCTTTAGCAAAGCATAACATTATCTGCTTGTCCACAGGAGCACTTTATTTCGGTCAGACATTAAAAAAAACATGGCCGACAGATGTATCCTAAATCACTCGTTCACTCGGTGTACTCCGGAGTCATTTGTAACCGAAGCGCCTGCTGTCCTCGCTGCACCACCATGGTGATCTTGTCGCTGTTATGAACAGCCTGGTAGATTTCTTCAGCAGTGTTCACTTCCACCCCATTGATCTCCAACACCACGTCTCCTGGTTTCATTCCAGCTCTGAAATCAGTACCACAGCACTGATTATAACAGGTACAGTACACAGCTGAGGAAAACACTCCATAGAAATATTTTGGCTGCGTACCTGTTGGCTGGTGAGCCAATGATTACTCTGTGGATTAAGATGCCATGTGTGACATCTGGGAACGACGGATCTCTTAACTTCAACTCTGTGATGATGCTGAAAAGAACCGATGAACAAGAAATATGTTTTCAGACGCCGTGTAGTCACAGAACAGTACTGAAGTTTCCAGCGCCTCTTTATTTACCTTGGTGTCAGCGTCAACATCATCACACCAATGTAACGGCGCTTGGTCTCAGAATCACCAAACTTAGAACCTAAGAGAAGATTAAAGGATAAATGTAGCCATTAAAGAACTGTACAGGCACAGTCGGACATGAACCGCAACTACTAAAAGCTGCCCATTAAAGCTGTTGTGTTTAGGGACCAGCTCAGCCCCGAGGTCACCAGAGGGAACCACATGTATGGTTTCTCTTACAGGGAGCAGGAAGCTCTGCATGATGCTGACAGATACCGATGGAGGTCCTTCAGCTTCAGACATCCTGACATCAGAGCCACTGAACCAGACTTGTTTCTGACTACAATCAACTCAGACTGGAGCAGCACAGGTCAGAACTACAGCATGCACAGTACATGTAATGATATTTTAAGCACAATTAGTAAAAAGCACAATTTAACAGTTTGCCTACAGCTCGGTTGTGTCACAATGCGAGGGCAACAATATGATGTAATAAAATATACTGCGATACTATAGGCATGAAAATATTTGTTCGTAAGTAATTTAATTGTAGGAACACTGTAAGCACAGTAAACACAGTACTGTTACATGCGTATCAGGTTATTAAAATGTTCGTAATTGATAAAAAAAATATTGGCGTATTGATATTTCTTTTAATCACACCCCTATTAATTAATAGCTTTTTATTCAGACACTTACCCTTCTTTGTTGCATTATCCAGGAAAGCTCTCAGACGATCCACAGGAATAGCAAAGGAGATTCCCGCAGTGACCTTCATGGTGTTTATACCAATGACTTCACCATCCTGACGAGGAGAGAACACTCATTTAAGGTTGATCAGGATGGAGCAGCTGATGCAGAAAGAGCTAAAGGTTTGACCTGGATTGGTCATGAAGACATTATTTGTGTTTTATTGCCTGTAAAGGCCTGTATCAACAGTTGAAACTACTTTCAGACACAAACAGACGCTCCCATGGTTTAAACAAAGGTCACGCACCAAGCAGTAAAAGCAGCTTCGCTGACAGTAATCTGTGATGCATCATGTGACTCACCAGGTTAATGAGGGGGCCTCCAGAATTTCCAAACTGCAAAACAAATAAATCATGTCATAAAAGTATGTCACAACTCAAACCATCACTTCCTCCAACAATTCTCACAGATGACTGTAAATGATACAGTACGTCCACCAGAAGAGGATGTGGAGGAAAGCCCTGTACTTCACTGTTACCTACGTCAATGGCTGCATCCGTCTGTATGTAGTCCATGTTGGAGTTGGACAGGCCCAGCTCTTTACTGCCTCTCTGTGCTGAGCTGACAATTCCTGATGTGATGGTGTTGCGTAGGGCGAAGGGGCTTCCCATGGCCACCACAAACTCCCCTTGTCGGACGTCAGATGAGCGACCGAGAGGAAGAGTGGGTAAAGGATTCTACGATTTATGAAAGAGGAACTTCATCAGCGTTAAAAAAAGGGACTCTGAAGGAACTATGGTGCTATTTCTCGACTAACTTTGGTACATATTTATTTAGCTAAAGTATGCCTTACTTCTCAACAGTTTTGTCCTAATGAGATGTTGGCCTAAACAATGTGTACACTTTTGCTCATTTCACTATTCAACAATCAATTTGTCTATTAAAAAGGAAGTTTGATTTATGGGATGAGTGGTTTTGTGTCACTCTGTAATCCACCACTATAGCAGAAGCTAAAGAGGCTTCAGTAAAACAAAAACAAAACTTTGTATCCAGTTGGTTCCTCTTTTTTAGCTTACCTACCTTTGCGCTAATTTTAATGGTGGCGATGTCTGCTACTGGATCCACGTCCTGCACCGTGGCGTTGAACATCTCTCCATTAGTCAGCTTCACTCTGACGCCCCTCTTGTTAGCCACCACATGAGCATTGGTGACTATAAGGCCATCACTGCTGATGATAAAACCTGAGCCATTGGACACAGGGATTTCTCTGCCTGAAAATGGATTTCTGGGTAAACAGATAAAGTAGAAAGGATCTTTTATTTCAGCCTTTGAGGAGGGAAAAACTATTACTGTTTCTCTTTTGAACTGCTTTTCTTTCTCAGAGTTACTCAATCACAAAATACCTGAAAGATAAATATGATGTGCCTGTCACATTTGCTTATTTTTAAAGAAAGGTTTGTAAAATGGCACTTATTTCATTTGGCACCCTGGTTTACCACATTTGAGTTGAACATACACTGAGGTGTTCATGTTGCACAGCACATGAATTATTATTTTGAGCCTGGCCTTAGCCTTATAATCATACCCTTACGTTATTCTTTAGCTGCTACGATGTGACAAGTTACCTGGTGACCTCGAAACACATCGACTAGTGCTAGCTGTGCCATACTCACCTGCCAACAATCTCGATGTAAACGACAGCCGGAGCGGACTTCTCCACCACATCTGCAATGAAGTTGTATTTGTACCGGGGGCTGTCTGGTTTAAACGGGGAGGCACAGTGGGCTGAAGGTAGTAGGAGTTCGAGGAGCTGTGTGGACACTGAGACTCTTATGTCTTTTTTATGTCTCGTGTCCAGAAGCGCAGCAGCACCACAGAGTCCGAGAGCCACAGACACCGACCCTAACACAGGCGACCAGCCTTTGTGTCTGTCTTTTTCTCCTTGGTCTGCTCCCATGTGGATCTCTGGAGCAGCCGAGGACAATCGACTTACTGTCCTTCCCTTTACAAAGGTGGGTTCACGGCTTGGGCAGCGACTGTTTGTCCTCAGGGCTGTCAGTAAACACTTCTTGACAGCAGCTGCTGCCATGTTACATCACTTCTTCTTCCCTCTTCTTCGGCTCTGGATTTATGTCCGTCTGTCTGTCACTGTCCGTCAATTCGACTTTCAAACATTAACCTAAAACGAGAATGTTTCTGTTTGTGTAATGTCTAACAACAAACGACCAGCTTTTACAGAACTCACCAAAAGGGAGAAAGAATACTCCACCGAAAACGCCTAACTCTGTCAAACGAACGTCAATCTCGTTCCGGACATGCGTAGTAGGATACGTCTATATCTACCGGGATTACGGAAGATTTCCGCGCTTGAAATGCGCATCAGGGCCATCTACTGGTAAAAGTCGATACTATATTTTCTATATTTATATATTTAATAATATTAATCCAATTTTGTTTAAAGTTCACTCGTGATCAGATTGTATATTTGTAGATAACCTTGGCTAACTAGTTAAATATTTTGATGTAAGCAAATGTACACACATTTCTACCCAGAATTTTACATGCTCCTATCTATTTAGATTTTTTTAAATTAATGTGCAGTAGCTTTTGATGTAGGAGCATTTTGCTAGCCTTTTAACTTTTCTGCTTTATATATTTACCTTTTTGGGTTTTTTTTACTTTATGTTAATAAATTCCTTCCCCATCTTTCTATTATTGACCTATTTTGATATTGTGAATTTGTTTTGCCCTAGTATTTGTCTTTTGTTTCCATTTCCATTACTTGAGTTGTCTTGAGGGTCATTTTTTGCTATTTCATGCCTTATATTTTTCATCTCTTTGATGTTTATTTATTATGTTATTGTCATTCTTTTTGGTCCCTCGCTCCTATCCAGCAGGTGGCGGTACAGCTATAAACTTAACGGAAATTAATAAACGAGGAAAACAAAGGAGGAAGTGACGTTATACACGTCACAGGTCTCTAACCAAAGGCGGTCTTGCGTCTGAAGC